ATAATACGGTGCAGCTACTGTGGAGAATATGGCACTTTCTCAATAACTTAAACAAGAATAACCATATAACCCAGCAATTCCACTCCCAGGTATACACTCAAAAGAAACTGAAAACAAGTATTCAAACAAAAACTTGGACACAAATGTTTATAGCAGCATTATCCATAATAGCTAAAAGGTGGAAACTGAATCCCCATCAATGAATGGTTAAACAAAATATGGTATATTCACACAATATAATATTATTTAGTAATAAAAAGAAATGAAATTCTGAAAAATGCTACAACAGAAGCCAGACGCAAAAGGCCACATATTGTATGATTCCATTGATATGAAATATCCGTAACGAGAAATCCACAGAGCCAAAAAGTAGATCAAAGGTTATAAGGAGCTAGGTAAGGGGAATGGAGAGCTTTTGCTATAGAGTTTCTGTTGGAGTGATGAAAAAGTTTTAAAAAATAGACAGTGGTAATGGTAAATATAATTAATGGCAATAGCCAAACTGTGGAAGGAGCCTCGTTGTCCATCGAAAGATGAATGGATAAAGAAGATGTGGTCTATGTATACAATGGAATATTACTCAGCCATTAGAAACGACGAATACCCACCATTTGCTTCGACATGGATAGAACTGGAGGGTATTATGCTGAGTGAAATAAGTCAGTCGGAGAAGGACAATCATTATATTGTCTCATTCATTTGGGGATTATAAAAAATAGTGAAAGGGATTATAGGGGAAAGGAGAGAAAATGAGTGGGAAATATCAGAGAGGGTGACAATATGAGAGATTCCTAACTCTGGGAAACGAACAAGGGGTAGTGGAAGGGGAGGTGGGTGGGAGATGGGGTGAGTGGGTGATGGGCACTGAGGGGAGCACTTGATGGATTGAGCACTGGGTGTTGACAAATCGAACTCCAATAAAAAAATATTCATTAAAATAAATAAATGTCCATATTAAAAAATAATAACAATTAATGGTAATGAACTGTACACTTAAAAATGGTTAAAATGGTTATTTTATGTAACATATATAACTACACACACACACACACACACACACACAAACACACCTAATGCCAAACTTCAACATGCAGTATGAGATGCAGCATGAAAATCTTAGTATGACACTCTTCACAGTATGAGATTCAGATATATAATTACATGTCTTCTGGGTTTCATTTAACAGGCTTATACTTTCAGTTCATTCTTAGCTTTAAAAGGTATTTAAATGTATAAATTCTAGGCTTGAACCATGTTCCTATTATATAAAGTACTATTCTTAGGTTTTCTCAGCCTAATTTAATTTTATGATGTGTGACCATTTATCTATCACACTTTGGCATAACAGAATTGTAATTTTAAAAGCTCAGATATGAATTACACATTTACATATAAATTGTGGAATGTCCAAAAGCAAAAAGCAAACCCAGTAAGATAAAATTTCATATCCTCTAGGTATGGCTATAATTAAAAAAAAAAAAAAAAGAAGGGCAATAACAAAGGTTGGCAATGATGTGGGGAAACAGGAACACTCATGCATTGCTGATAGGATTATAAAATGGTACATCCACCTTGGAAAATGGTTTGGCAGCTTCTCAAAATATTAGACACAGAGTTGCTATATGACTCAGCAATATAACCCAAGAGACATGAAATCATTTGCTTATTGAAATGTTTTCATAAATGTTCATAGTAGCATTATTAATAATAACCAGAAGATAGAAACAATCCAAATATCCATCAACTAGCAAATGGATAAACAAGATATTGTACATCTATACAATATTTATGAATATAAAAGGGAATGAAGTACTGATAAATGCTATAACACGAACGCACCTCAAAAATGTGCTAAGGGGATCCCTGGGTGGCGCAGCAGTTTAGCGCCTGCCTTTGGCCCAGGGCATGATCCTGGAGACCCGGGATCGAATCCCACGTTGGGCTCCCGGTGCATGGAGCCTGCTTCTCCCTCTGCCTATGTCTCTGCCTCTCTCTCTCTCTCTCTGTGACTATCATAAATAAAAACAAAACAAAACAAAAAACCAAGAATGTGCTAAGAAATAACAGCCAAACACAAAAGACCATATGTTGTATGATTCCATTTATTTGAAATGCTCTCCAAAAGGCAAATCTATAGAAGGTAGTTAGTGGTTACCTAGAACTGAGGGTAGGAATGGTAAGGGACAACTATTGGGTACTAGGTTTCACTTAGGGGTAATGAAAAGGCTCTGAAATTAGATTGTAGTGATTGATGGCTGCACAATCTTATGAATATACTAAAAACCATGGAACTGTATTTTTGAGTAAATTTTATGGTATATAAAATATATCTCAATAAAGTTGTGTCTTTAAAAACCTCCATCATTTTGTTCCTATAGCCACCCAACTTTATTTCCTATATTACCAATATGAATCTTCAACTTTGTTCATTCTGAATCCATTGCTTGACTCTGCTCACATTGTTCCCCTACTGGGAATATTCTCCCTAGATTTCACTCCAGTCACAAATTTATTTTGAATATTTTCCTGACCAAGTCAATTCCTCATTGAGCTAATTTTCTTCTAAAGTCCATACCACTTGCAATTGTTAAGACTGTAATCCCAAATATATACATAAAGCAGTTTTATCTTATGTCCCATTAATAGCTAATTTTTGCCATAATCTCTAATTCTTGCCTTTAATCTCTTTTATCTTCTCAGAGACAAGCTAGCATCTTACACAGATGGTACAAATGTCTACTGAATAACATATGCATGTCTTAATGCAACTTCCTACATATGTGTTCAGTAGTACCCAAGCCTTAACAAATATCCAAAGTCTTGAAACAGGAAACAGAAAGGAAGAAAAAGGAAACTAAAATGATGGGACATTTATCATTTCTCAACAGTGTATTAGAGAAGTGTATGTTTTCACTGTATTACAAGGTGGCTTTTTACTGCTGTCCTCAAATCTGGGTGTGCACTAGGCATACTTACCTTTTTTTTTTTTTTTTAAAGTAGGCTCCACACCCAGTGTGGAGCCTGATATAGGGCTTGGTCTCATGACCCTGAGATCATAACCTGAGTAGAAATCAAGAGTCTATGGCTTAACCTGCTTAACCAACTGAGCCACTCACACACCACAAGAGAAGGAAGAATTTAAATATGAAACTCAACTTTCTCCTAACAGTAGGGTGCCAAGATTCAAACCCAACACCTTTACATACAGTCAGGACAATATTAACACAATGAAGATCAGAAGTACTAGACAAAGGTGTGTGAGGTGGGAATAAAAAGGGGCAGAAGACAAGTCTTAAAAACCAAACTTCTGAAAGCAACAAAGACAGTAGGTCGTAGCAAAAAGCCACAAATTGCTGAAACCTAGATCTAGAGCCTTACTGCAGGAGCCTAGGACCAACAAATTCAAAAGCATTTCTTTCTGGTACCCTGAACAGGAAAGTCTAATTCTACTATGTGAAATTCCTCCACCTGGCCCTGAAATGCTACAAACATAAAACACTTCTCATTGTTTAATATCAGAAAAATGTGTTTTTCCCTTCCTCTGTATTTATACTTATCTGGTAACTTGCCTTGTGTTTTTAAATTAGGCCAAAATACACATACTGTAATCATTCAAACTCGCTTATGGGATTTCTCTGGTAGCAAAGGAGTTATCTTCAAATGTATCACTATTTCAGTTTGCTACATTTTTTTTTTACTTGCTTAATTTGGGTCTCTTTAATAATTACTTGCTTATTTGCAAAACTCTTTAAATTATAACTTTCCTTCCCTATCATTTTGTTTTTAATATTCAGTGGTTTACATAAAGGGATTATGAAATGTATTTAAGGTGGGTAATTCTTCACTTCAACAGTCAGCAGACTAGTAAGGTGCAAAGAGAAAATAAACAATATAAACGCCTAGAGGAGAATGTTTTTCACAATTTATGTATTGTTATTTTATCATTTGCCTGCCTTCTTTGAACTCACATTTATAGATGCTAACACTCCCAGTTTAAATGTTCAATGAAGCATTTTTATTCTGCTTTTTGCAGAGGCTATCTAGATTTCTTTGAACTATGTATGAATATAGACAGCATTTGATTATCATTTTGAATAATGACTTCAACATAACAGGACAACTTCTCCCAATGAATACTTTGTTATAACAAGAAGGAAAGCATCATTATCAGGAGTCCAAAGTACTGAACCAGAGTAGAGCAGTTATATACAGGTCTTGTGATTTGATGGAATCACCCAGATGTATAAATAAGAATCTTGACTTCTTAAAGAAATCACTGAATAAATGAAAGAAATACAGAAAGCACCATTTATCAACATCCATTTCTCTCTGTCCATTATTATACTACTGGCCAATGATGTTAAATAGCTTGTGAAATTGGTAAATGAAAGGCTTTCAACTGCCTTCAAGTAAGAAAAACTAGTAACTTTTAAATAATGTATAACAAGGGCAAGCTGACAATGCCTGGCATATACTAGGAGTTCAAAAAATTATTGCTGAACAAAGAACTAAAATCAGAGCTTTCATGAGGTACATAGAGCATAAATAATTTCTTATAAAAGTGTTAACGATTTTGGAAAAGAAAATATCTGCATTTGTATTTTCTTATTTTATCTTTTAAAATATGACTTAAATCCCAAAATATTAATTGGGGGTTGAATGTCCATGAAAGAGATCTTAAAAATCTTCATTATAATCTCTTCAAGTTTCTCTAGTTCATCAATTCACAGTTATACAAGGAGAACAAATGGAGTACTAAATTAAAAATTCATTCCTTTCAATCACAATGTCAGTAATACAGCCAGTAGGTCAGGAAATCAGAGAAGTGTGAATTTTCTATATATATATTTTTAAGGATTACTATTGACAAAACTTCATTACTAGAACAAAACTGTTCTAGTAATGGTCTATCCACACAACTGTTACTAAATTTAAAGCAAACCCACAGAAGAAAAATATCGAAGAGCAACCTATCCCTCAAGATGGGAAGCACAACTTACTTCAACTTGAAACAGTTGTCCAGCTCCCTCACAGTCATTGGATGTGATTATTGGAGTATGAATATGCACAAAGCCATTGTCCTGGAAGAAAAGAAAAAACCCACCTTTCTTTAGCATATTTGTATACAAAACAATTTAAGAACACACTATTTATGATACTACTAAAAGAGCACTAAAAGAATGCCGCATCAAATCTATAACCCCCAAAGTATAACTATTGAGGTATCAAGGTGAGTATTTTACTATGCAGAGAGGCACAAAGAATTTAATTTTAATTTTATTTTATTTTAAATATTTTATTTATTTATTCATGAGAGAGACAGACTGAGAGAGAGAGAGAGGCAGAGACACAGGCAGAGGGAGAAGCAGGCTCCATGCAAGGAGCCTGACGTGGGACTTGATCCCGGGACTCCAGGATCACACCCTGGACCGAAGGCAGGCGCTAAACTGCTGAGCCACCCAGGGATCCCCACAAAGAATTTTATTTTATTATTTTTTTAAATCAAGAACTGACTTAGACACTTTCTAGTCCAATGTGATTTCAAAGATAAGGAAATTGAGGCCCAAAGAGATTTTTTTTTTAAAGATTTTATTTATTCATCCATGATAGACACAGAGAGAGAGGGAGAGGCAGAGACACAGGCAGAGGGAGAAGCAGGCTCCATGCTGGGAGCCGGACGTGGGACTCGATCCCAGATCCCAAGACCATGCCCCGGACCAAAGGCAGGCGCCAAACCGCTGAGCCACCCAGGGATCCCCCCCAGAGAGATTTAATGACAAATTCACACAACTAGTCGATTGCAAAGACAGCCGGTACTAGAACCTAGGCCTTTGGGATCTCTCTAGTGTATTTTTAATTCCCACTTCTCTAACACACTGGTAGTGACTCAATACACACACACACACACACACACACTCACTCACTCAAGGCTAGTACATAATGATGTTGCCTTTGCTGTTTACAAAGTGATCAACGTGAATTTTGGTATTTGGGGAAGAGACCCCCAATTATCACAAACTACCAAAAAAGGAGAAAAATTAAAGTTGACAAATAGGGACTGAATAAATAAATAGCAACAAAAGCAGAAATGATTTTTAGGAAATCTGTCATTCAGTTGATGGCACGGTACACTACACATGGCAGAGGCAGTGCATTTCCTTTGCCTCAAGGAAGATTCTGAGCAGCAAATCCATCCATTACTGAGGCGCCCAACTGCAATTCTTCCGCTCCAAAGTCTGAGCTATTTCCATTAGTGAACCACAAAAGCTGTTTGCTAGTAGGATCGAAATAACCCAGCAACTTCAAGGTTATGCTTCTTTCTTTCATTTTGACTATGGATGTAGGCAAAAGGTTACATTCTGTGTAAATGTTGCAGGTGGGTGTAGAGGCAGTTCAAGTGAACTTACTCTGCAGAGGCAGAATAGTATGTGTTTCACACAAAAGTTTTGGTCTTGAAATCAATATAATGAATTCATACATGCATATTTAATCTCTGCCAAATTGTGTCTATCACTGGTAGAATGTGTCTCAGTGCATTACACCAGGGACCTTCCAAATTTGCCCCTCCCTTTCTAAAAAGGGTGAATTTAAGTATTCTGGCTATGATACAAAAATGCCCAATTAACAACTTGTCTAATGATGTAGACTGATTAAATATTCAAGCCATAAATTAGGAGTCTTAGAAAATATTCAAATATATACTTAACCTGGGAGCTACATGCCTAGAAGTGCCACACAAAGCACATTATAAGAATGAATGAAATATAATCAATAACATTACTGCATAAAATTTTTATCTTCTAGGAACCAGAATTATGGACATGAATCATTTATTCCACATGAATGCAGGCAACTATGAGCAGGAGTGCAGTAAACAAAGAAAGGAAGTGAAAAATCCAAAGGAAACGAGGGTGGTGAGAGGGAGGGGGAAAGGGAGGAGAAAATTTAACGGCTAAATGTAATTGCCAAAGTTAGAACGAACTGGTCAATTGCCACAAGAAACAAAACTGCAAATCTTATGGAAATTATGTGGGTTAAAAAAAAAAATCACTCAAGTAGTGGGAATTATTCTTAATACTCAATTAGTGCTAAACCTTTCAAAACGTGTCACTAGCTTTTTAAGTCTTAATACTGCTAGAAGGCTTATATCAAAGTCTATAACATTCCCGCCAAAAGCTATAAAGAAGAGTTCAAAGAAAGAATAAGAAAGCACAGAGAACAAAATTCAAGAGAGCAAGTAGATAGGGACATAGCAGAATAAAAAGGAAAATAAACAGCAAGGAGTAGAGGAGTATTGTTTGCCTCCACCAGGGTAACAGTGTCAGGTATTTATCCCATCCTACATTCAGCAAAGGGGTTCCTAATTAGAGATAGGAAGACCAGAGAAGGGGCCAAAAATAAAAGTACACATTTACCCAGGGTTTTTTTTTTTTTTTTCCCTCTTAAGATTTTTTTATTAAAAAAAGAAAAAGATTTATTTATTTATTTGAGGAGGGGGGAGCACAAGCAGGGCAAGGGGCAGAAGGAGAAGGAGAAGGAAACTGTAGCTGAGGAGGGACCTGCCAGTGATGTGAAGCTCGATCCCAAAACCCTGGATCACGACCTGAGCCAAAGGCAGACACTTAACCGACTGAGCCACCCAGGCACCCCTACTCACTCAATTTTTCTGCTTCTACCCACCACCTCTGAATCTCTAAGTATTTTTGATACACACTTTTTTTTTTGATACACACTTTAGTACTAGATATTTTATATGGCACTGAGTATCTGAAAATTATAAAATTCACATACTAAGGCCCATGTATACCAAAGACTCCTGGACTGTATTTTTCTTTTACACTTACACAAAGCAAGCATCATTATTTAATCAGAATCAATAGCAAAGAAACATGACAATAATTGCTAGCCAATGACAACAGAAAATGACAGCAAAAAGACAAAAAAAGAAAAAAAAAAAGAAAGAAAGAAATCCATAAAAAGCAGTCACAGGAATGCAAAGACACAATAGTCTGGGGTTATTCAACAGAGGGGCAAAGAATACACCCTGACAGGCTTTTTAAGACTTTCTCATACAGAAGAGGGAAATATCTGATACTCAAGGGAAGAACCTGGACTCATCCAGAAAGGGCAAACTCTTCAATGGGCTCAATTAGGAGGCCAGGGAAATATGTAATATATTTTAGGATAACTTCCACTGGAAATTGGAAAAAATAGTGCCTAACAGAATAATTGTTATGGGAGAAACTCAGCTCTTCTAAATAATTCATTCCTTGAGGATTCTAGATATCCAAGTTTTAGAACACAGCAAATTTGTCAATTTTATGCATAAACCAACTTAAACACAAAACATTTTTGATACTCAAAACAAAAAAATGCCTTTCTAATATAGAAATATTAGAAAAAAATAGCAACAAAAAAGTTGCTAGGATATTTAAATTCGGATATTTTAACGTATGAAACTCTTACTTAGATTTTAAGTCTTAACATCTTTCAGGGAGCCAAAAGTATTAAGTCACAGAAACAATACCAAATACAAATAACATATAACTATTATATAATATGCACTATAATACCCTGTGATTTCAATTCAATGCTAACTGTTATACATACAAATGGGTAACATTATAGAATTATCAGGATTATATTTTCTAGGGCTTCACAATTAAAAAGTGAATTTATAACACTCAAAATTACCTGCCTTTATAATTATAACCAATAGTGCTAAAATTCATTATTTTCAACCACTTAAAATGTTATTTTGCTTATTTTTTATTTAATATTTTCCTAGTTTATTTTCTAAATTGTTTACATTTTTGTAAAAGCTTCCCATAATAAATGCAGCAAGTAGGTAAAGCTCACTTGTCAATGGACTGCCAATATCACCATCTAGTGGCCAGAAATCTATAAAAGTTTCTGTATCGAAGCAGGTCTACTTTAGCCACTATTTAAAACCATACGGGGCAAAAAACATTTTTAGATCTGAACAAATTTTCTGTTTGTGTGGTTCAAGCACTACTAAGAAGCTGTATAAGAAAGTTTATAAGAAGGGCACCTGGGTGGCTCAGTGGTTGACCGTCTGCCTTTGGCTCAGGTTGTGATCCCAGGGTCCTGGAATTGAGTCCCCCATCAGGCTCACCACAGGGAGCCCACTTCTCCCTCTGCCTGTGTCTCTGTCTCTCTCTGTCTCTCATGAATAAATAAATCTTTAAAAAACAAAAAAAGTTTATGAGAGCATATAGAAATGCACCCTTTCGAACTATAATAGGATGACATAGTATAATGTGATGATTTTTTTTTTTTATCCAAAACTATATTTTTCAAAGCCTTGATGTTCTTTAGCTGTTTCATCAGCAATTAACTCTGGAGAAGCTTTTCAAACAGCAAGAACTATCCTGGTAAACTACAATAGGGCTGGGCCTGCAAGAATTTGGATGCCTCCAAGGGAAAGGTAGCATGTTTGACAAACTCTGCCAATCAGCTGGATCTGTAGAAATGGGATAGGAAGAGCTCCAGAACAATACTGAACTTCATCTGCTGCGCCAATCCTGGGCTTTGGGGCTCTCTCATCCACATTCTTTCATTCACCTCATCAACAACTATATTCCCCTATGGCTTTCACAGATAGAGGCAAGTAGCTGACAAGCAATACTAAATAAGACAAAATGCCTTTAGTTGTGTACCAATCTACTTGATTAACACCAATAGCTCTTTAAGAGTAGTGCCTATTACATATAAAATATGTCTATGATCAAGATGGAAAAAATCCCCCTTGAAACAACCAAAAACAATAGAAACCAACTATTCCTTACCCCTCAAAAGCACATTAAAGGATGATTTTCAAGACAATGGATATCAGACAGTGATCCTTGAGGTGGGAAATAAACTTTGTTGAACCCTCTCAACAGCCCAGCTTACTACCTTGAAATTGTCCAGGCCTTTGGAGGAAGAGGGGGGAAATAAAGTGCAGCCCAGCAGACATTCCTGAGTAGAGAGTCTGAGGGCAAAAGTGGCTAGAATTCATAGGAGAGTGCATCAGAGAGGACAGAGTTGCAGAGAGAACTCCAGAGATGTACAGAGGGTCACTTTGGAGTATTAAGTAGAAGAATCATAAGCACATACATGTGGGGAAACTACCAAAGGCCAAGGAAACAAACATCCAAAACAGACTAGAGGAAACAATGCTTGGTACTCGCATGTGGCTGCAAACAGTACCTGTTCCCACAAACCAGATTGGAAAAACTCAAAATTCACAAGGTACTAGGTAAAGTGCTCAGTAGCAGAAATTAACTAGTCCTAGACTGAGCACTGCTCCAGACCTACTTACCAAACCATAAAAGCAAGGCCCGAAAGGACCAGTTTCCAAGAAGCTTAACCTCACACCAAAACAAAGCTTATTAATATCCAACATAGTAAAATTCTCGAGGTCCGGCATCTAACCAAAGATTAGCACATAGGTGAAGAGGTAAGAAAACATAACCTGTAATGAGGAGACTAAAAAAATCAATCAAAAAGGACTTAAATAACTGACAGACATGTTAGAATAATGAGGAAGACATAGTTATTAAACAGCTATTAAAACTATAAATAATTTTAATTAAAACTGTATGATATAGGGACACCTGGGTGGCTCAGTGGTTGAGGATCTTCGGCTCAGGGTGTGAGATCCTGGGATCTGGGATGGAGTCCCACATCAGGCTCCCTGCGGGGAGCCTGCTTCTCCTTCTGCCTATGTCTCTGCCTCTCTCTCTGTGTGTCTCTCAGGAATAAATAAATACATCTTTTAAAAAAACAACTGTATTGTATATGTTAACAAAGTTAAGCAGAGATATGGAAGATATTTTTTTTAAAAGGCCCAAATTGCGCTTGCTTCAGCAGCAAGTATGCTAAAGTTGGATGAGGGTGTCCCCTGTGCAAGGATGACATACAAATTCATGAAACGTTCCATATCTTTCCACACAGAAGGAAAAAAACAAAGGCCTGAATCAAACATCTAGATATGAAACCCACAATGTGAGATGGAAAATGCATTAGATTGAAATAACTACAAATTAGTCATTGAAAAAGAAAAGATCAATAAGCTTGGAGGCATAGCAATAGAAACTACCCCCTAAAAAAACACAAAGGGAAAAAGGAATTTAACAAAAGAAAAGAACATCAGTGTGCTATGCAGCTATCATTAAGTGACTTCATATATATGGGCAATTGAAGTCTCCAAAGTGGGGAGGTAACATAAAAAATATTTGAAGAAATAATGGCTGAAAAGCTTGCTGAAAATTAAAACACATAGATCCAAGAAACTTTACAAGGTCTAAACGAAAGAAACAAAGAAAACTGCACTAAGACACATCACAATCTAATTGCTCAAGACCAGTGATAGACAATTTTAAAGCAACCAAAGAAAAAGGTATCACACAAGTAAAGAATGCTTGGAATAAATATGGTAACTAACAGAATTTTCAGGATACTACTCCAAGATTGTAATTATTCAACTTCTTCACAAGAAAGAATAGCCAAGGGGGGGGTGGAAAAAAACAACAACAAAAAAGAACTAAAAGCACACAAAGCACTTTACCTTAAAGAAAGAATGAATAGCAGCTGTGGCCTCACTGCGAACCCTCAGTATAGAGCCCAGAGCATTAGTTCTGCACCGAAGGTGAGGATATTGTCTCAGATACTCCAGAGGATGCCTCTCTTTATACTTAAAAGGGAACGCCTGCCAATAAATGGAAAAAACAAATTAAAAGCTAAAAAATATAATGTTCTATAAAATCAGTTTCTATGACACTTGTTAAATAGTAATGCTTCAGAACAAAATTAAAATGTTTTCCTTTTATTTTTCTTAATATAAGTGAATATAGTCCACATTAGTTCCAAATTAGTAGAATGGTAGGTGGAATCAGAGATGTGGGTTTGAATTCAGCTCTACTACTTATTAGCTGTAGAACCTCAGGCAAAGTTAATATTACTGAGGCTAATGTGTTATTTATCAAATTTCTATCCATTAGTTTGTATCAGTCACTACTTACAAATAGAGAGATTAGGATATAATTATGTAAAACAGTCTACTGTTTGGCACATAAGAATTCAGAATATTGTAGATATTAAAGATTATGTTTTCTACAGCTGTGTACACACAGCTGGTGTTCAATTTTAAAATCACCCAAATGTCTTGAAAGCCCACAATCATTTATAATCAATCAGCACTGTTTTTCACTGTTTATCAACATGTCTAAGAACATAAGGGAGGGTCAACAGCTTTCTGTCATCTGGCAGAGGAGTAGTGTATATTTACAAAAATTTCAAATTATGAGTCTACATAGAAATATTACACTCTGCCCACCCTCACTTTTTAAGATTAAGAAACAAACCTTCAGACCAAAACCAAAGTTTCAATAAAAAGGTAATAGAAAAGCTAAGTAAAAAAGCCAAATTGGTAGCTTATTTCATTTAGTCTTATCTATTTCTTTTAGTGTACACGTTAATTTATTTCATAATAGAAAGAAGTACTACATCTACTAAAGTCAAAATATGACTACATTAATAGGAGTTTGGGGACTGCCTGGGGATCAGAATTCTCTAATGTCTGAATACTTAAAAATGAACCTGAAATCAAGGGGAAGATTAATGACAACGATAGAAGCCAAGTGAGAAAAATTTAAGAAGAGTAAAACACATGGCAAATTTTAATAATCATTATACTCCTCTAAAAATGCAAAACCAAAAGTAGTTACCATCTACAATGCCTCTCTGAGTTTCAAATTATTTTCACCGTCTACTTTTCAGAAATCTTAAAACCAGATTCCTGATTTTACATGTCAATTAGTATTTGTATTTCTTTAAAAATTATTCTGAATGACTTTTTTTTTACAAGTTGCCCACTTTCTTTCTATTTCTGTGTATTTATTTTCCTTCAATTATCCAAGAAATAAAAATGAAAATGATGCAATTTCCCTATACTTCCTCATTCTTTATTCATTAAATACTTGAAAACAAGTATAGCAAAACTACAGGATAGTCAAATGGCTAGTACATCAATTTCAGCTGTGGCACTAGTCAGCAATATAACGTTAGGCAAATCATGTCACCTGATTGGGTCTCATTTTCTCCAATTCAGAAACTGGGTTGATAACCTATGATTTTATATCCTCTAACTTCTTTATCAGGTGATAAATAAAAGCTACTAGCAAAGAGTCTTGCAAAAATAGGCATAAAGAAAAGAAAAAAAAATTTTAAGATTTATTTGAGAAAAAGCATGTGCACATGAGCAGGAGGGGGAAAGAGAAAACCAAGCAGACTCCCTAGTGAACACAGGGCCCAATGGGGTCCTTGATCTCAAGATCCTGAGATCACGACCTGAGCTGAAACCAAGAATCAGATGCTTAACCAACTGCACCACCCAGGCACTCCATACACGTCTCAACGTAGGATTTCTTGTCTTTGCTCAGCCCAGTAATTATAGCACTCCAGTGCTGTCCCACAGAATTTTCTGTGATAAATGGAAATGTTCTGTATCCGTGCTACCCACTATGATAGCCAGCAGCTGCAGATTATGACTGAACCCTTGAAATGTGGCTAATGCCACTGAGGAAGTAATTTTGATTGATTTAATATTAAATTCATTGATATTAAATATGTACAGGTGGTTAGTGGCTACTGTATGGGACAACACAGTTCTAGATCCTGCAAAAGTCATTATTAGGCAGGGATTTTCTAAGAACATGGTCTGCCCCTGTATGTCTCTGGGGCTAACAGAAGCATCCTTGTAAAAGCAGCAAGTTTCAATTGTGACAGGTGTCCAAAGAGATGCATAAATTAATACTTTACTTTCACTCTTAAAACTCAGCCAGCCATATACTTCTTGCTATACTCTCTACATTACTCAAGCTCTATAGCCTGTTTTAATAATTTGCAAAGTCACAACTGAAACAAGTTCTAAGTGCCATCTTCCCAATAATCACACTTAAAACCGACTGCTAATGTTTTAAATTAAGCCTAAATAGTCTCCATTAAAGTATGAAAAAGCGTACCGTGGCATCACAATTTCCAACAACTTCAATTTTTTCTGCCTTCAGTTCCATATTTTGCTTTTTGGATGGACTTTTTACCAGCTGCCCTTGAACTTCCACAGAACTCCCAAAAGCCAGTTCTCTACAATAACAAAAATTAAGCATAAACAAGATATCATTATATGGAACCCCCATTTTAATACAAACCTTGCTATCAGAACATTCCAATATTTAATGATAGAAGTTTTACCCTTCTTTGGGCAGCAAATAATTAAGAGAGACTATGTGAAAATGGTAGAAAAAGAAAAGCCTCCACCAAAAAAAAAAAAAAAAAAAAGAAAAGAAAAGAAAAAGAAATCTTGCCATTTGCAACGATGTGGATGGAACTTGAGGGTATTATGCTATGCGAATAAGTCAGTCAGAGAAAGACAATTATATGATTTCATTCATATGTGGAATTTAAGAAGTAAAACATAGGGGCACAGGGGAAGGAAAGGAAAGCATAGGGGAAAGGTGGGAGAAATAAAACTGGAGAGGAGACAAACCACAAGAGACTCTTAATCATAAGAAACGAACTCAGGGTTGCTGGATGGGAGGGGGTTGAGGGAATGGAATAAATGGGTGATGGGCCTTAACGAGGGTACCTGATATCATGAGCACTGTGTGTTACATAAGACTAATGAATCACAGACATCTGCCTCTAAAACCAAGAATACGCTGTATGTTAATTGAATCTAAATTTTAAAAATAGTAAAAAAAAAAAAATTAAAAATAAAAGAGAAAGAGAAAAAAAAAAAGAAAAGAAAAAGAAAGGCCTAAACTTGAAGGATTTTGATTCCAAATATTTGGACTTGAGCCTCAAAGCTTTGAAAAGTAGGTTTGTTTAGAAAGATCACTCAGGCTCCCTGCATGGAGCCTGCTTCTCCCTCTGCCTATGTCTCTCTCTCTCTCTCTCTCTCTGTCTCTCATGAAAAAATAAACAAAAATCTTTAAAAAAAAAAAAAAAAAAGAAAGAAAAAGAAAAAGATCACTCAGGGGGCAATATGAACATTGGATTAGGGAAACGGGGAGCAGAGGAGATGAAAGGGGAAAAAAAGGATTCTTTTGTTAAAAAAGAACTCACCTATTGTCAAAGCTTGAATCTGCTACAACCTGAAGGCTTTCCAAAGAGGATCCATCATTTATATGCAGGAACAAGACTTCCTTCTGGGATCGGACTGAACGAATCCATCCCTAATGAAGAGAAATTTCTAAATGTGAGTTTAAAACACATTAACATTTTACATTTTCATTATACACTCACACACAAGCCTAAGGGGAAAAAAAGTGTCCTTGGGATACCTGGGTGGCTCAGTGGTTAAGTGTCTGCCTTTGGCCCAGGGCATCATCCTGGAGTCCCAGGATCGAGTCCCACATTAGGCTCCTTGCATGGAGCCTGCTTATCTCTCTGCCTCTCTCTCTGTGTCTCTCATGAATAAATAAAATCTTTAAAAAAGATGTCCTCAGTTCTGCCTTAACAAATCAATTGCTTTTAGTTCACCATATATTTATAAAATTCAAGGATTCTTATTGCAATGAGATACACTTCTGGCATCACATCTTTTTGTTTTGTTAATAAAACTCATCATTTTTTTTTCTTTTTAAGATTGTACTTATTTGACACAGAGAGGGGACAGCACAAATAGGCAGGGCGGCAGGCAGAAGGAGAGGGAAAAGTAGGCTCCCTGATGAGCAGAGTCTGAGGAGGGCCTCCATCCCAGAACTCTGGGATCATGACCCACGCCAAAGGCAGATGCTTAACTGACTGAGCCACCCAGGTGCCACAAAACTCATCATTCTGAATAGATGCCTAACTTTCCACTAGGTGATGAGACTAATTCACATCATCTATTTCCCCCAATATTGGCTATTTCAGGTATTTCTTCCTTCCTCTTGCTCATTTTCCTCACCATAACAAATAACAGGGCACATATTTTGGCCCCCATCTCCTTTTATATAAAATTCCCAGAATGGAAATTATGTAGTTATAGACTAGAAACATCTTTATGGGATTTTTTCCCCCTTTTACAATGCATCACACAGTTCTCAAGAAGCTTTTCATTGTGAACATGTATTAAATATAGTAAATAAGCTTTTGAAGACACTGAGTTTAAATGACAGGTATGTGTGAGTACAAATGAGAGGTCTTCTGGTAGACCTAAAACCAGTTCTCACAGATCAGATCCAACTTAAACTTAACTAGCACAGAAGAGAGAATATACTTCTAGCAAACAGTGAACAACTGTGAAACAACTGATGGTGTCTGATTAACTATCAGACACACTTGGGAAAAGGGAGAGGATTTTACTTGGAAAAACTATATTGACCCTGTGTGTTCCCACCATACCCTACAGACAATGCTAGTGAAACTATTACTTACTTGCATGTCCATAATAATTTCAAAGTTTAGGAACTATGCTTTAGTTGCTTTGAAGGCCATTGTCAAGCACACAGCAAATAGTGCATTAATGTTTTTCAGTGAAAAGAGTATCTACCATGCACTAGAAATCTACTATGGGACAAGTGTTTTACTACCTTTTTCATATAATCTCTCATCTCTTCCTCACAACAGCTCAGTGGATTATCATTATAACCTGTCTTACAAGAACCTGGACTCAGAGAAGTTAAGTAATTTGTTGAAGGTCACACTGCTGGTTACCATAAAGTCCCATTTGAAACCAAGTCTACCAGAAAACCCTTGAACTTTTTCTAGGGCTACACTGAATAAAGTGTAATTGCCTCAGTCTCCTATACAGGGCCTTTCACAACTCAGTGCGCCCATCTTTCTGGTTTCATCTCCCCACACTTCCTTGAAGGCAGCTGTTCAACCGACAGTGATTCCTAAGGCATCACTGTCTTTTCACTTGTTGGTAAAAAAGTAACATTTGAGAAGCACCGTTTAAAAATGTGCTTTTGTTTTAAGCCCTTTATAAATATTTTACTAGTTATTTCTCACAAGAACTTAATGAAGTGATTACCATTTTAGAGATGAAGAATATATTTAGAGAAGTTAAGATAACCTCTTTAAATAATTAAAATCACAGTTCCCAAGTAGTAGAGCTAGAATTCAAATATTTTTTTTAAAGATTTATTTATTTATGATAGACATAGAGAGAGAGAGAGAGGCAGAGACACAGGAGGAGGGAGAAGCAGGCTCCATGCCGGGAGCCCGACGCGGGACTCGATCCTGGGACTCCAGGATCGCGCCCTGGGCCAAAGGCAGGTGCCAAACCGCTGAGCCACCCAATACAGTTCTTAGCTCAAAGGTCATATTATTATCAAACTTCTAGGGAACGCTATCTTCACCCCATCCCCAGTCCTCAAGCGAAACGTCACTTAATACAAGCAGTCTTCCTTGACCTGACATAGTAAAGGACATCTCTATTTTCTCAGAATTTTTTATACCACCAATACATATCACATTGCCCCAATTACTTGTCTTAGCCATTAGACCAGGGCTGACCCACAAGTAGAATGTGAGCCACATATGTAATTTTCCAAGTTTTAGTGGTCTGGTCACACTAAAAGTAAACAGGTAAAATTAATTTCAATATTTTATTTAACCCATTATGCCCCAAATATAATCTACAGGTAATCAGCATAAATATATATTGAGGTATTTTATATTCTTTTGTTTCCCAAAATTGGTGTATTTCACATTTACAGGTACCCTTCAATCTAGACTAGCTGCATTTCAAGGGCTCAGCACCACAAACGGCAGGCAGCTACCGTCTTCGATTGCACAGTATTAAAATGAAAGCCTCTAACCTGAGCAGCAGGTTTTTATCTCTGAATCCTTTCTAGATTACCACTCAGCAGGGATTATTAATGTACATATGTCAAATGAATAGGTGAATGCAAGAAAAGGCTTTGATTTGGATCACGGAAAAAAAATATATCAAACTCAAAAGAAACACAGAGGTGTCCTACTGCTAAAAATCAAGGATATCCAAGGAAAACAAAAATGACTTCATCAGTGTCTCAGCAACCTGTAAGAAATGATCAAATCACCGTGGCTAGTCTACTCCCGTTGAGGAGTAGAGCTTCTACGTGGAGCTGTTCCAAATGATAATAACAAGAGAAGTAATAGCAGCCCACACTTACTGACTGCGGGCCATGTCCTGAATGTCTTCATACCTGTCCTCTCATTTAATCTTCAGGACTCTCTGCGTTTAAGGCTAAAGCTTTATGCGACAAGAAGCAAACAGGTTCAGCACACACAGGAGACACGCCTTTTATTAATGAGGAGGCACTAAGGGCCAGATTTGAATCCAGGCAGCCTGACTCCAGAGTTTCAAACTACTACACTCTACTTTTGTCTCCTAACTCATTAAACGTACATTATATGCAAACCCCCATTTTTTAGGCCTTGGGACGGTCAAAATGGAATAAAATCCGTTGTTCAGTCGAACAAACATTTACTGTCAGACAGACGCGTGGGAATACGGAGCCGGACGAAACACAGTGTCAAAGCAGCCACTGCGGACTGTGGACCTTCATTATGAGGGAGGGATACAGGCACAGAGGACCAACGAGCTCACAGGTGAGGTCCCGGAACCGTGAAGGCAAAGTTCCAGCACTTCACAGGCATCCCGACAGTTTTGCAAAAAAAAAAAAAAAAAGAAAAAAAGAAAAGAAAAAAAGTAACGGTGGGCAAGGGAGACCAACGTGAACGTACGCGACCGTCCGTACATCCCTGAGCAAGTCATTTCACTTCCCTGTGCCCAACTTCCCGCATCTGTAAAATGGGCATAGCGGCAGCAGCAACTTTAAGCTGCTGCTACATGGCAAACCTTTCCATGATGGTCAGTGAATTACAGAATTTTTTTTTTCCTACGTTTTCTCCTTCCCCTGCCTGTCATTCTGTCTGACCCTGCAGGTGCCCTTTAAGTCACTAAAGAAGGAAGCCCCACCCCCTTCCCGAACACCAACCTGGACCTTAACGCGCTCCCCACTCGTGCTCTGGGCCCCGAGAGCGTCCCGCACGCTCAGCCGGGCCGGAGGTCTGTGTCCCGGGCAGGGAGCTGAGGAACAGGAGCGCAGGGCTCGGGCCAGGAGCCGCGCCCCGAACATCGCGCGGCCGCCCCCGGGCCTCTCCCGGCGGGCGCGGACCTCGCCTACCGCGAACCTCCCGGGTTCCCCGCGGCAGCCCGGCGCTCAGGGCGCCCCACGCCCCCCGCGGCTCCCTTCCCCTTCCGCGGCTCCAGCTCCCCTTCCGCCCCCCTCCCCGGACGGGGCCGAGCGAGAGCACAGCGGCGCGTGCCCGACAGCCCCACGCGCGCCGGGACACCTCACGGTCGCGCCTGGGCTCGGAACCCACAGCCGCGACCGCCTCCCCGAGCCGAAACACGCGCGGCCGCCCCGCTACGCCACACGCCAACGTCCACGTCATCACGCTACGAGCGGGTTGAGAAGGAGCGTGCGCACTAGGGACTCCGGTTTCTGGAGAAGGCGGGCCAGAGGCGGGGGCGGGCCGAGCGCGGAGGGGGCGGGGCCTGAGGCCCAGAAGGGGCGGAGCTAAGGCATTCCGGCTCTGGGAGCACGCGAGGGACCCGGACCCGGTCTAAGAGGTCTTAGTTTTTTTTTTTGTTTGTTTTTGTTTTTGAAGATTTTATTTATTTATTCATGATAGACGGAGAGAGAGAGGCAGAGAGAGAAGCAGGCTCCACGCAGGGAGCCCGGCGTGGGACTCGATCCCAAGACTCCAGGATCGCGCCCTGGGCCAAAGGCAGGCGCTAAGCCACCGAGCCACCCAGGGATCCCCTAAGAGGTCTTAATGTCTAACGCTGCCAGGTGATGCCGAGAGACGCTGAGAGGTAAGGAGTGACTGATGCCGAAGGAAAGCCTCCAGGAGACTTAGTTGTTGAGAACATGAGCCTGAGGATGTTAGTCATTCCTGAGTTCTGAGCGCAAGGAAAGACAAGACAGAGATCCTTGCTCGTCATAGTTATACGGTATCTAAACAGACAAGTGCATAAAAGGGTGATCAGTTCTCTGGCGGAGCCTCAACGTGGGATGCCAGAGCTGGCTTGCTGGAGAAGGGAGCCCTCTGACCCCTGGAGAGTCTTTGTATTTGCAAATCGGGGAAGGCACTGCACTGAGAAGATGTTGGAGAGACACTGAAGGGAATGTTGGGCATTGCCTGTTGGAATCTTCAAGTCTTTCTTTTTTTCCAACACTTACCTGCATTGGTTTGACCTGGAAACAATGACCCTTTTAAATGTATCCACCACTCCCAAATCGAAAAAAAAAAAATCCTGTAATTCACTGACAATCAGGAAAAGGTTTTTCCATCTAGCAACTCTAAGTTGCTGCTACTATTATGCCCATTTTACAGATACAGGAAGTTGGGCACAGGAAAGTGAAATGACTTGCTCAAGAAGATACAATACAACCTATAAATGTGAGATTTAACCTCAGAAATTCTGGCTCCTTCCACTAAACTGTAATGTTATAGAGTATCTCAAGGTGGGAAGTAAAATCATGATCCCTTCCACCAAGAAGCTCGTTGTCTAGACATGGGGAATGACAACAAAACAGATTAATGCAACATAAACCAGTAAATAAATTGGGCAGCCTGGGTGGCTCAGAGGTTTAGCGCCGCCTTCAGCTCAGGGCCTGATCCTGGGGTTCTGGGATGGGGTCCCGCGTTGGGCTCCCTGCATGGAGCTTGCTTCTGCCTCTGCCTTCTCCCCCCCTCTCTGTGTGTCTCTCATGAATAAATAAATAAAATCTTAAAAAAAAATAAACCAATAAGTACACACAAATATATGAGCCAAGTGAAGTAGTTGTCTAGGGAAGGAAATAAACGGAGTTTTTGAGGAAGCTCAGAATTTTGCAGTGCTGGGATGTAAAAAAAGTATTTCCTATGAGAAGGTGAGCAGGAAAGGTTACTAGGAGGGCAAACAGCCTGGAAGCATTGTAAAATTGTTCTCAAGATAGACTAAAAAATATCTCCCACAAAAATACCATAGTTCTTGGGCACTTCTTGAAACTCTCAAAGAGAAATATGGAGGGGCACCTGGCTGGCTCAAAAGGAGCATGCAACTCTTGATCTTGGGGTCATGAGTTCACGCTCCACATAGGGTATAGAGATTACTTAAATAAAATTTTTAAAAATATGGGAATGTCCAAATACCTTCAGAGTTATGTAGCTTTGGGACTTTAACAACAGCAAAAAAATAAGTATGACTTTGCTGTATTGGCTACAAAATCTGGGAAGAAGATGATCACAGCATTAATGTATTGACTATGCCTACCTTGTCCAAGGGATGAAAAATGGTGACCAATTGGCTCACTTCCTACCCAGGCTGTTTTTCTGTCTTGCCTTCTTTCACCACTCCTTTCCCCTCAATGTGTATTTTAAGAACTGTGGTCCTTACCACAGTGATCCTGACTTCCTTTACTCTCTCTTCTACAGCTGGTTTAAGCCAAAGTGTTAATTAATTTTTAACCAGTGTCCACTAGTTTGATGAAGACAAGGGAAACCAGTGGGTGAAACTGAAAACTAGCAGTAGTTAATTAAAAATGCAAGTTGACTATAGCATTTGTGCCTCTGGTGCTAAGTTCCAAAACACTCCATGTATCTTGTGCTATATCAAATTACGTTTTCTTGTTTTTGTTTTCAATGTTGGAATGACACTTTTTAGATTCATTAGACAGTAGCCAGAGTAATCTTTTCACAATTAATACATTACTGTGTTGGTACTAATGGTTGCTAGTGCTGTAGAATGCTTACTCCATGCCAGGAAGTTTTCACATATTAACTCAATCTTCACAATAGCCCTCTGAAGTAGGGTTAGCATCACCACCCCCCATTTCCAAAGGAGAAACTGAAGCTTGGAGAGGTTTTGAGCTGGTTCCAAGTTACACTGGCAGTCTGGCACCAGAGTCCATTTTCTTCTCTACTTATTACTCCAGCGATTAAAGTACTCTTCACTTGCTTCCCCTACAACATAGAGAGGACTTGCCTTCTTCAGCATGCCTACCAGTCTATGTTTCTGGGAGTCCCCTGAGGCACCCTGGAGTGAGGAACAGAAGTGAAACGTCCTTATTGTTACCTTTTGATAATACAGGTCTAGGCGATGAACACCGTTAGCATTAGTTGTCAGCTTTAGAGAAGGTTTTAATCAGGCTCAGCACGACAGGTTTCAGCTTCACTTGCAAAGCTTCCTGGCTTCTGAAAGGCAGGCATTACTCTGATACTCCATGTGGTCATAGAATACAACTCTGTGTCCAGGGTTTTCATTACGCTTGAGTCCACTCATGAAACTCTCAACACCCAAAACTTGATACCAAGGTTATGACCTCAAAACATAGAGGAACATAGTACCTGATGCAGAAATTATGGAGATATTTGGTGTAGACAGGGAATGGGTGAATATTGTAAAGGATCCTGAGTTTCTCTGAAGAAGCTAAAGTTGGTGAGTACAATTTAACTTGAAAAATGGAAAGGCGAAGGCACAAAACAGAACAAGAAATTGCACGTGTACTTTGGAACCTTCAGAAAAGCAGCTCATAATCTAGAAAGAAAAGCAGACAAGTAAATGATCAGGTAAAGGAAAAAGCACAGAAGAGCAGTAGTAACCAAACGCTGGGGGAGTAAGGCAGTTTTCCTGGAGGAAGTGACATCTAAGCTGAAGCCAGAGGATGAATATTAGCCAGGGAAAGGGGAATTGCATGTCCTAAAGAGAGCTGGCAATGTTCTCTATCGTGATCTTGGTGGCCTTACCTGTACCAGATATGTAAACATTCCTTGAGCTGTAAACTTAAGATTTGTGCATTTCACTTACATATACCTCAATAAAAATATGAATTAAATATTAAAATAGAGGCATCAAGTCTGCTGCTAGAATTAAAGCATTATATTTCCCTGGTTAGTACAGAGACTTTTTTTGTTCATAAAACATGTGAACTATTTCCTACATATAGAAGCGTTTAGAAAATAATGCAATAAAACCTGGTAGCTAACATCTAGGTTTGTTGTATCAAAGCTTAATATTTGTCCTCTTAGAGATCTTTCTCTTTCCAGGAAATGGATCTCCTTTGTACTTCTCTACAATCCCATTCCCCTCTTTTCGTCTTGGATGGAAGTAACTCTATCCAGAATTCAATGTTTTTCATTTCTTTCCATGTTTTTATACTTTAGTTATACACACACACAATTATATATAATACACACATATGTACACGTACATATATGTATATATAATATGCATATATCTATAGTCTCTTGTATTGTTTTGCATATTTTAAATTTTAAGTTAATGGTATCTTACTCTATAAATTATTCTGCAACTCAGATTTACTTTTTGACATATATCCATGTAGCTGCAGTTCATTCTTTGTAATATTCTGTTGTATGACTATACCACAATTAATTCATTCTCATTCTAATGGTTATTAGGGCTGCTTTCAACGTTTTTCTATTATAAACAGTGGTGGATTTACCATGAAGCTAATGAAAGGTAAACTCAGAGCCCCTTATTTGCATTTATGTGTCTCCCTGTCCCTGGCCCCTACCTCCCCCCAATGCGAGGTGCTGCTGGGAGTTGTAAAATAAGAAGGGAGGCAATCAGGAAGCATTTCTTAAGGAACTCAGAAGAGAGAGGCATGAATTTCCAAAGTTCTAGAAATTTCTTGTAACTTCTCTCATTCTAAGTAAATATTTACCTTAATATTTGTAATTCTGTATTATTTTCTTTAAAAAAAACCTCCTATATTATTATAATAAGCTTCAAGACCCACAGAACTGGATCAGCCCTTCATTATAAGACTACTGCAAAAAGTAGACTGGACACATCAAAGTCTCTCTGCATCATATGCCTCAGGTACAGAAGCTACACATCTTCAGCTTTGCTGGGTACTGACAAAATGTTCTGCCAGCTGAAGATTGTAATTTATACATCCTCCAACAAGCTTACAAGGATTCTCAGAGTTCCATACCTTTAGTGACAACGGAGAGACTCAGACTTTTGAATTTTTACCAATGTTGGGTAAGAAAGAGTATCTCAGTGTTTTTAAAGATTGTACGTTCTTTATTCTTTTTCCTCTTTTCCTCAAAATTCCATTTCAACCGTAACACCCATCATTGTCAATAACATAGTGGAAAAGAGCACTCGCCTGGCAATCAGCAGTCCTAGTTTAAATCTCATCTGTGGCCGCCTAACTGTGGAATCTTTAGAAAGTCACTTAAACTCTAGACTTCCTTCACAGGGCTGTTAGCACTATTAACTGTAGCGTCTTGTGAATTCTGTGGTAAAGAAATGAGTGTCATATCTGACTGAATGCTCCTCACCATTTATGAGTTTTAGAGTTAAGGAATCCACTAAATGTTACCAGCCCAT